AAAGTTTGCAACGGCCTTGGTTTTATGAGCGGACGGCTTTACGGTGTTTCCCGAGACTATGTGTCCCAAATACTCGATTTCCCTCTGCATAAAACGACATTTCTTCCAATTTATGACTAGCCCATACTGCTCAGTTAATTCTACGACCATTTGCAAGTGTTCCCATGCCTCCTCTAAATTCTTCGCAAGGATAATGATATCGTCCATGTACACGATGACAATACCCTTGTCCATCAGTTCTTTGTAGATCTTCGATATATACCTTTGGAAGACAATAGGGGAAATTTTCAGACCAAACGGCAACTTCAGAAATTCGTATTGCCCCGTTGGCGTAACAAAAGAGATATACTTCTGGCCATCTTTGTCTAGACTTACGTGGAAAAACCTATTTTTTAGATCTATCGTCGTAAAAAGCTGGGCGCCCTGCAACGCGTCTAAAACGTCTTCAATTAAAGGCAACGGAAAATGTGGACACTCAATGAGTTCGTTAAGCTCACGAAAATCGACGCAAACCCTGATGGAGCCATCTTTCTTTCGGACTACCACTATCGGACTCGCATACTCCGAGTCTGATGGTTTGATGACGCCCTCGTTTGTCCACGCTTCCATCAGATCGTCCACCTCCTTTCTTTCCGACGGCGCCAGTCTTCGCGGTCTTCGTGCTACGGGTTTGTCGCTTTTCAGAACTATTTTTGCGGTTATCCCGACGTCTCGCCTCTTCTCCGGCCTATACCCTTTAATGATATCGCGAATGGCTTCACGGTAATGAGGTTCTCGTACATGCGACAAGTCTATCTCGTCGGTTTGTTCTATCGCGTTTACCCTCAGTACATCCGGCGCGTCCTCGTGACCGTCGGTCTGACCGTCGAGTCGTAAAAAGGTCACCTCGCCCTGTTTGACTCGCAACTCTACCTGGTCTAAGAAATCAGTACCTAACAGCAGGCTGTGTCTTGTCATTACCTTATTCGAGATAGGGATAGGGTGCAGGGTGACAGTAAAATCGTACCCGTCGACCGTCATTACCTTTGTAAACTCGCCTCAGGTACTATTGCCAGCGGAACAAACCATCAAACCTAAGTTTGCAGTTTCCCAGAGGTGGTGATCCTAACCTGGCATACTCATCCGGTCGTATAAACGTGAGGTCACTACCTTAGGCCCTTTTCCCCGATACTACATACATATTGCGCACTATGATTATAATTGCAAAAATCCTATTCTCAGAGAACCGAATCACTCTGAAAATGAGAAAATTTGTAGAATTCTTTAAGATTCTTCGCTTAACGCTGTTTTATTTTTCCTTTTTGAATTCCTGTGGTACTTCCCATTAAATGAGTCTTTTAAAAGGCAAACTCTGCGTGTCGTTTTCTTAAGTTCATTAGTCAGAAACACGATTAATATCCAACTTCTAAAAGAT